TGCTGTACTCTGCCGTAGGAAACAGCTTGATCTTCCCCATCTCCTTTGCCTTACTTCCCAAATTCGACGCGGGGAAGCCGGGCAGTGAGACCGGGATAAATCTAAAGGCTGGCATGCGGCTGAAGTACATGGGAAGCAAATCGTGGTTGGCCCCACACGTGGACCGGCTGCTGGGGACGTCGCTGTGCTTCACTCTCCCTTCTTCGGCTCTGGAAAGCTGGAGTACTACCTCGCAACCCGGCGTCCGGCCCTGGAGGTGCGTGGTGTCGACGCCTTCGAGCCCGTCGCAAACCTGCACCGCTGTTACTTAAAGCAAGACCCGGTCTTCCTGCGCTCCTTGCTGCGCCTGGCGGGGCGCAAGTTAGACAGGCGCTTCTACTTCAGTCGCCTCCTGCCAGGCACTCAGAGAGGCCGCGCCGGGCGCCGGGCCGCCTGCTCGTACGTCCTGCTGCGCAACAGCTTCTCGGGAAAGTGGGGCTCCTTCGCACAGCAGCGGCCACTGGCGCTGAGCAGCGTGCGGCGTCTGCAGCGGCCGCCCACAAACGTGACCGTGCGATGCCAGGACGCGCTGGCCCATCTACGCGCTCTGCCCAGCCAAGCGCCGCGGCATTGTATCTACGCCGACCCTCCCTACATCTTCCCAGGCCGCAGCATGAACTACTATGGCACGAGGAGGCGGGGCATGACCTGGCCTTCCACTCGGAGCTCCGAGACGCGCTCTTCGCAAGCGGCCTGCCCTTTGTTCTGAGCATAAACGACGTGCCTGAAGCCTGGGAGCTCTACAGCAGGGCAGGCTCCATCACAAGGCTGTGCTCGGGCAAGAACGGCTCCAAGCCAGAGCTGCTGGTAGTGCACCGGGGCAATCCTGCTGTGGCGACAGGATTGAGTAAAGCAATCCTGGGCTGACGACAGGATTGAAGCAGCAATCCTGTGCCCAACGCAGGATTGCCAGGGCCGCGCCAGGCCCGCACCAGGCCCGCACGTTGGCGTGGAATTTGTAACGGGCATGTGTGTTTTTTTCCGACACACCTTAGAAGACTTTGCTGAAGGAGCTCAAACGGTGAGCTTCTTTAAATTCGCTGTAGAGAGGGCCCGCACCAGGCCCGCACCAGGCCCGCACCAGGCCCGCACCAGGCCCGCACCAGGCCCGCACCAGGCCCGCACCAGGCCCGACTTCGGTGTGGAGCGAGGTCGGATTTCCGACTTCGCTTTCCAAGCCTTTTTGAGCACTTTTCCAGGAGCGAAGCCGGACCGAAACCGCGGAGCTGGTTTCGCTTTTCCAAGCCTTTTGCGCACTTTTCGGCCCCAAAGAGAGCGGCAGATTCTCACTGTTTGAGAAACTGCTTCTAAAGTTTTTGGGGCAAAAAGCGCCGTTTTGGACTGGTAGCGAGAGCCCATGGTGAGATGGTTTAGGCGTTGCTCTCCGTAGCGACGTTTCGGAGGCTCGATTCCTCCCGGGACCTCGGCGGGCTGACGTGTTAGAGACCGGTGACATCGGCGGTGACAAGCTCAGCGGGCTGACGCGTTACGTGGAAGAACCTCGGCGGCTGACATGTTACTCGGGAGCGCCTCGGCGGGCTGCCGCGTCAGACGCTGGCTGGCTCTGGGCCGTGCCTCGGCGGGCTGACGTGTTAGAGACCGGTGACTTCGGCGGTGACAAGCTCAGCGGGCTGCAATTCGCAGGTTTTTCGGGGTAGAAAACGGATTTCGGAGCACTGCGAACACCTGGAGCAGGTTTTCGGAGGAAAACGAGCGAATTTGGAGGCCCAGGCAGCACTTTTGACGCAGGACACGAAAAAACGCACTTTTCGGAGTTCGCCGTTTTCAGCGCTTTTTGCACCAAAAACGGAGTGGTGACATTGACCGGTGACATCGGAAAAACGTTCAGCGGGTTGAAGAATTTGGCTGTTTTGCAGGGTTTTGGGACCCAAATCCGAAAATTAATAGGGTAGTATAAGCAGACATTCCTTACTACTAAGTGCTGGGGCGTCAAGCAGCCGCCGAGCAAGTAGGAGCGCGCGTTCTTGCGCGGCTCATGGCCGTGTAGCCGACGGCGGGCATATTGGGCGCGTCCAGATAGATGATAATGAACGGAAATTCGTCGCCCTGCACCTGTGCACCGTAGTGCAATTGCCCGGAGCGCTTGCCCGTGTCCGTTCGGACCCACAGCACTCGGCGAGCCGGGTCAAAGCTCAAGACCTCGCAGCGCATGCCGTTGACGTAGTCGTCGGCCTTGCGAACGTTGCGGGTCAGGTAGAGCTTGGCGCCCCGGTGGATCGGCACGTCCGCGGGCACGGGCAGCCGGTCGTCGCGTAGCTTGCCAGCGACATAGTTCTCTGGGTTGTCCTCGAAGGCGCCCGCGATGGTCGCCAAGGGCGCGGCGCGCGGATGCAGCGCCTCCAAGGCCAGGGCGTTGAGCTCGGCGACGCCTTAAGTTGGTCGCGGCGACGATCGTCGCCTCCGGATGCTCCCGCAGCAGCCGCCGAAGGTCGTCGGCGGCCGGCTTGTCCCCCGCCCACGCCTTGTGGCCGCGGCAGATCTTGTTGAGCTGCGTCTTGCTCGGCATGGCGGTCCGCAGCAGCTGCAGTGTCTCCAGGAAGGCCGGGTCGTCGCAGAGAAAGACCTGCGTCAGCTCCAGAAAGTAACAATTGCCGGAGCTCCAGGCCGCGCTCTCCCAGACTCGACGCCCGGAAGCTGATACTTGTCTCCAAGGAACACCGGGGCGGGCAGACAGTCGGCCGCGCGCCAGAGCCGCAGAATCCGCTCAAAGTCGGCGCGACTGAGCTGCGAGAACTCATCCACGACGACAAGGTCGTAGCCATACATTGCGTAGAGGCCCTCCTGCTCAGGCTTGTGGAGTTGGAAGGCCGCAGTGAAAAGTGTCCACGACGAAGCTCTCGTGGTTGCCCCCGACCGCTATCGGTGGCTGGCCACTGCCGTGCTCCTGACCACACGGCGCCGCGGGCAAGGTGCCTGAGGAGATTCGCGGCTTCTGCCGCGACCCGGGGCGGATTGCTGCAGAGATGCGGCTGGAGGGGCGGACCCGTGATTGCAGATGTTCTGGCGTTCGTGGCCGCCCATCGCTATTTGGCCGGGCAGCTGGACCGCAGGGAGGAGGGCGCCAGCGCGAGCGAGCCGCGCGCGACGGCGCCCCGCGGCGACGCAGTTTGAAGGGAAGCAGGCCTGTTCCACAAAGCTGTTGCGCAGCGCGTCGCGCTGGCTCGACGCGCGCAGGGCGCGGTCGAGGAGGCCGAGGGCGATCGCCTGCGAGCCGAGGCCGCGGAGAGGAACCACCAACCGAGCGTTTGCTCCGGACGCCCGGGCACTGGGAAGACGACCGTGGTTCATTGCAATGTCCGCAAGACGCTGGCCAGCGGCAGCTCCGTGCTTGTGGCCCTGCCGACCGCGCGCCTCGCAACGCGGATGGCCGCGCGCCTGCACCTTGGCGCGAACCGCCGCGATCTGGAGCTTCGCCAAGGATCGGAAGGGGACACGCAGCATGGACCATTGCCTGTAGAAGGCGTCGTTCAAGCGCCAGAGATATTCGGCGGCGACGACTTGCTCGCCGCGCATCATGGGCGCTGGCGAACGCGGCCAGGGAAGGCTTCTCGCCGCCGTCGGGGGCCGCCAGCTTCTGCCACTTCTTCTGCAGCCACGCGGCAATCCCGCCGGAGGCCTTGGTCTTGCGCAGAAACTCGAGCAACGACATGGAGTCACGGCGCCAGGCGCTGTCCGCGTCGACCGCGACGAAGTCCGGCTGCTCGGAGTTGCCTGGGCGAGGCGCGGACAGAGCGGCGGCCGCTCGAGACAGTGCCGAACTCCCACTGGCGGAAGGTCGCGCCCGTTAGCTGGAGCAGCATCTCCAGCCCGCGACCGTGCTGCGCGAGCTGGGCGTCCTGATGGCAGCGCAAGGCGTCCATGACCGCGGGCATGTAGCCGCGCAAGCCTTCCGCGGCGTCTTGCTGAGAGTGGTGGAGGCGCAGCTGCCCAGCGTCGTACTCCGACGGGCCCGGATGCGCCGGCCAGCGGCTGTCGCCCCCGTCGTCCAGCTGCGAAGGCGGCCAAGCTGGCGTCGCGCTCGGGCAGGTCAAGGCTTGCGCAGAGCTGGCGTCGCAGAGGCTCGGCGCCCAAATCCTTGACCCAAAAGTGGCGACAGCTCCGCATGAGATGCAGGAACATGGAGTGGACGCGCATCGTCACTCCACCTGCATCTCTGAGCCTGCACTTCCAAGCAACGCTCAAGTAAAAAAGCGCGTATCGAGTTTGCTCCGGTCGGTTGCTTTTTTCCCCGCATGTCCCTTTAGGCTTGAAGCAGGGACCAAGATTCTAACGCTAGGGGTTTGTCTTTTCCCCTGTGTTTTAATCTTGGTTGAATCTTCGGCCGCGTGCCATTTCTGCTTCAAGCTTTTTGGTAAGGGACATGCCTGGAGGGTTTGACCCCTCTTTCGTTCTTTTTTGAACCCACCCACCCTTTCACGGCCCAGGTGGCATGCAGCCTCCACAAGGCCTGATAGAGGGACGCATGCAGCCGCATGAACGGAAGCTGGTCAGCTCCCAACATTTCGTCGGCTTACTGCATCTTGATACTCCCGCAGGACCATTTCGAGCATACGCAGCGAGGCCCACGCAGTGCACGCAAGCGCACATTGACGAATGCCATCGGCATTCTGCCAGCCCGGACTGGCCCCCCTGCAGGAGGACGCATCCTCCCATGCACACTTATGCACGCATTGCATACATGTGCAGCATACCCCTTTTTTTTTTTCGTCTCACACCCCACGGGTAAAACACCCTGTGTGATGGTCGAACACGCAATGTTGACCTCAGAAAGGTATTCCGACAGGCTCCGCATGAGATGCAGGAACATGGAGTGGACGCGCATCGTCACTCCACCTGCATCTCTGAGCCTGCACTTCTAAGCAACGCTCAAGTAAAAAAGCGCGTATCGAGTTTGCTCCGGTCGGTTGCTTTTTTCCCCGCATGTCCCTTTAGGCTTGAAGCAGTGACCAAGATTCTAACCGTTGGGCTTGTTGGTTGTCAGGACCGGCTCGATCTCGAGGAGGCGGCGGGCCTTCAGAGAAAGCGACGTCCCAGCCTTGTCTCGCTCAGGTGGTCGCAGAAGCCAAACGGGTTGTGGACAACGGCACGCTGAAAGACATGCAAGTGGTCATGCGCCGCTTTAGCAGCACATTGGTTGCAGCAGGCGTGGTGAAATTTTGAGCTCAGGAAAAGTGCAGCTGACAGATCCAGGGAAGTGGAATGATTTGGCGACTAAGCCTGAGTTAAAGCAGCAGCTAAAGAAGTTTGTGGCAGAGGCAGGAGTGTTTGCTTGTTTTACCAACAGGTCAGATTCACAAGCGCTTTCGTGACATTCTGTGTGCTGCATGTTTGTCGAGGCAGCCCTAAAGGCCTTGGAAGAGGCCGTCCGTCCGAGCGCACTGCTGCTCGGCGTGTGAGTCTTGCTGGGCAGGACCTGCTCCTGGCGCGACAGCAGCAAGCGAGCGCCCAGCGGCAGGTTGAGACTGCCCAGCGGCAGGTTGAAAGCGCTCAGCGGCAGGTTGAGAGCGCCCAGCGGCAGGTTGAGAGCGCCCAGGAGCAGGAAGTGATGGCGGTGAGGCGTCTCGCTCGAGCTGCCACCGTCTTGGAGACGGCGGAGGACTCGGGCAATGCGACAAAGGTGCAGGAGGCCAAGGAGGAGGTCCAGGAGGCGGAAAGGAAGGTGGAGAAGGCGGAAAGGAAGGTGGAGAGGGCGAAGAAGGAGGTCCAGGAAGCGAAGAAGGAGGTCCAGGAAGCGAAGAAGGAGGTGCAGGAGGCGGAGGTCAAGGAGGCGAAGGCAAGCGGCCGGACGAAGGAGTCCGAGGCGGGCGGAGTCGGTCGCTTCCGCCGGCCGGCTGCGTTCTGGGACTCTGATCGTTGCGTGCGGTTCTGAAATTCCCCGCGCGGCCCGCACATGGTTTTGGTGGGGCAGCCCTGATCGCATCCAGAGAACCAGGAAATCCCAAGATAGCATTTTTGCAGATTGCGGCGGTTCGTGTCCTTGGTAGGCTCGGTATGGAGCCCCCCATGAACGGATGGTTGCCATTCCTTGTTGGAGGTCGGTCATTCCTGCCGGTCAACATTGATTGAGACGTGCCGTTGATCCTTGTGAGTGATTTTGTCATTGCCTTCAGCTTGCTTTTCAAAGAGCAAGACCTGCCCTTCTGCCGTCGGGGAGAGGGAGGGCAAACTCTGATGTCTTTATGTCTCTGCACCCATTGGGGTCCTGGCTGCTGAAGGCCCAAGTGCATTCTGTGAATGTTCTCTTTGATGCAGTGAGTTCAACCATACATTCCCGGCTTTGCATCCACGGGCAGAGTTCCTGTTCGATGGTTTGGCCCGTTGTGCTGCCATTCCATCCCCTTCTATTGTTCAATTTTAGATGTACCTGCTCATATCTGCCTGATTTGAAATTCTTTTGCTGAGGCGGAGCCACCCGACTCGATAAATCCAACAATTGCTGATGTCCTTACACTCCTCCGCGCCCGATTTTGGAGACAGGCACGGAGCAGTTGGTGCGAGAAGTTGCTCGCGAAGAAGTTGAAGTTTGGAGCAGCCGACCAACTGCTTGCAACAGTTGGGGCCACATGGGACTATTGTGGGAAGGAGGTGCTGCGTGAAAGCATGCAGATCCCCATCCAGAAGCTGCACGAGCAAAAGGGGAAGAACAGTGACAAACAGCTTCATCCTTTGTTCATCGCATTTGCAGGCCCAGGGCAAGGCAAGTCCCGGTTGCTGACAGAGTTCCCGGGCCTGGTCGAGCAGTGCTTGCAGAATGTGTCTGAAAGGCAGAAACTGAAATTCAGCAAGCAAACGAGGAGCTTCATGATCAGCTGCGAGAACGGCCTCTCTCCCGGGGACTGGGCCACGGAGGAGCTCAATGCCCGACGCTTTGTGGCATGCCGCATGCTGTGGCAGCTGCGGAATGCAAACAAAGAGGCTTTTCGGGAGGTCGGCGCTCCAGAGACTTTTGCAAAATTCCGCGTCGAATGCTCCGATAGCCTTGTTGCAGAGGATGTCTTTGCAGCTGTGCTGTGTGATGAGCTCAATCATAGCACGGTGGTGATCGGAGTCGACGGGATGCAAGGTCTGCCTGGATTTACCGAGCGCAGTGATGCTGCGGGCAAGGACCTGCCATTCTATCAGGTGATGCAGGAGGTCTGCCGCCTCATCAACCAAATGGAAGGTCCCTTTGTCGTAGCTTGTGTGGCCGCTTTGCAAAATGTGAAGAGTGGACTTGCTGGCAGTCCCCAGGCCCGAGTTTTTCTGGAGCTGCCACGCGTGACCGCCGTAACCCGCAACAAACAGCCGGTGCTGCCCGGCCACCGCCTAAAAGACCTCCTGGTCGAAGACATGGGCGGGCATGGCAGAGCTTTGGAGTGCCTTCTAGAGGCCTTGATGGAGATGCCCAACGCTGCAGCAACTGCCTTGGTGGGTGCAGTTATGAGACAATTGAGGCAGAAGTATCCTGACGCCGCTCAGATGGAGCCGGGTGCAGACCTCAAGGAACTGCTTCGCGCAGCTCTGTCAGGCAGATGGATTTTGTCTGGCGAAATGGTCGGCAATCTAGATCCTGAGAAGGTGGAGCTTATCCGCGTCAAGTTCAAGGACGGCGACTCCTCGCAGTACCGCATCGACTTGCCCTACATTTGGTTGTACTTGATGCTGAGTTTGTCTAAGTTCTCTGACGATTTGCAACCGTGGAACTTGATGGACTACCGCTTGTTTGAGTCAGAACCAACCTGGCAACAGTGGGAAGAATTCAATGCCAGGTTTCGAGTGTTGCGAGCTTCTGCGTTTGAGGAAAAGCACCAAGGTCATCAACCGGCATCTGCAATTTGCCAAATCCAGGAAGCAATTGTTGTCGAGGTCCTCACGCTGCGGCAATCCCAAAGCTCGGACAAATTTACTCAAGGGACTGGGAATGCACCAGTGCGTAGTTGAAATGACAAACCAAAACCTTACAGTGACGTTGACTGGCAAACGTGTTTTGGTCGTGAATGCTGCCGGAGCTCCAGCTGCTGATGCCTTTCTCATGTTGGAAGAGGTGAGGGCAAAGGGCAACAATCGCACGATCTCTGGAGAACGAGCGTGACAAAGCATGCGACACAGCTGACATCCTGGTGCTTTTGCTGACAAGGACAGAGACTGTGCCTTCGTACCTGAAGCGCAGTACCAGGAGTACTTTGGCTTCTACGCTGGTAGAGCCTTCTATCAAACCAGGGCGGCCAAACCTTGAAGGCTGAATTGTTGCTGCTGTGCCATTTCCTGGCCTAGAATTGGATCTCGGGGCTCAAAGAATTGCGGAGCATGAGGAAAAAAGTTTCTGGGTGCAGAACGAGCAGATTGGGGAACCGAGGAAGGCCATGGAACGATTTAGGGGGCTGTTGAGACCTTTTGTTTCCTTTTCTCAATGCTTGCATTTTGAGGGCAGCCGGTGAGTGACGAATCAAACGCATGAAAATGTGGAATTGGCTACATGCGATTTGGCCCCAAAGCCCATCAATATGCTAAGACATGTTTTTTTGCCTTGTGCTGGCCCGGCCTCCTGGGCTGCCCCAAGAAGTCTTCCAGCTGCCTTGCCGCAGCGGGCCGGCCGCGCCTCGTCAGCCTGCCCTGGGGCGCCGGCAGGGCCAGCTTCAGCAGGGTCTCCCGCCTCTCGGTGCTGCCACGGCCTGCAGCCGCTGCACGTCCCCGTACTGGGTTGAAGCTCCGGGCGGCGTTGGTGGGAGCCCTGAAGGCCCCCGCGTCCTCTATGGCCTTGATGCGGCGGTCGGTCAGATCCTTGTTGTGCTGGAACTTGTCCGCGTTGTCTTGCAGCAGCCGGAACTCGGTGGCCGGCTGCCGCTCCACGTCCGCTGGGGCCCCGTAGACCGTCTCGCGCGGCCGGGCGTTGTAGGCCCCGGCGGCCTGCTCGAAGTCTTGCGGGCCACTCGCGTGGCCAGGTCCTTCTTCAGGGTCTGGATGCCCCGGTCGATCACGGCCGTGGCGTTGCGGTCCTCGGGCCGCACGGCCTCCTCGGGCAGCTCCCGGTCCAGGGAGGCGAGCTCGTTGCCCAGGTCCGTGGTGACCACGAAGTTGCGCTCCTCGCCCACCAGCTCCCGGGTGGCCCGCTTGCGGCGCTCTTCTCTGCAGCGACTCCACGGCCGCCTCCCTGGTGAAGACGTCCATGACCACGAGGCCGTACTTGGTCTTCCCCTTGGTGTTCTGGCTGAAGTCGATCGGGCCCCTCCGCCGCGGCGGACTTGCCGAGGGCCCTGGGCCGCGGGGCCTGCACCTGCCGGCCCACGTCGGTCTTCAGGCTGCGTGACGTCCATGTTCCGCTGCCGCGCAAGGCGGTACAGCTTGCGGGGGTCCCGCACATTGAAGTCGTCGGCCAGGACGTCCATTTTTTTACTTGTTCTTCCAGCTTGTCCAGCCGGGCCTGGAAGCCCTTGCGCACCCCCCAGAGCACGCTGGTGAGGTGCGAGTAGTCGAGGGTCACCATCTCTGTGCTGTCACTCCACCGGGCGGTCCCTGTCAGGTTCTTCCACTTCGTTCCTGCGAAGTCGTCCGAGGCGAAGCCCAGCCTCAGGTCCCCGTTCATGTCGGGGCGCTTGTGCTGCTTTGGCCTCCACGGAGTCGAAGAGCTGCAGGAGCTCCCCCAGGTCGGCCTCGGCCATCTCCGTCTTCACCCGGCTGTCCGACAAGTTGGTGAAGCTCGTGTTGCAGACCACGTTGCCCGTGTTGCCGGCGATCACGAGGCAGCCGGGGTTCCTCTGGTTCGTGGTCAGGGACAGCTGCGTCGAGAGGCTCTTCGTCTGCACCAGCGCCTCGTCGTTGATCATGATGAGCTCGCACTGGTGCGCCCCGCCGTCCCGCTCCAGGAAGACCCGCGCGCTCTGGTTGCCCAGCAGCCGCAGCTCCGGGCCGCTGCCGCGGCACGCAGGCGTTGTCCCCGGAGTCCTCGAATGCGCATTCCAGGATATTGTTGAAGCACGGCAGCTGGTACGACACGCGGCGCAGGCCTCGCAGCCTCTGCCGCAGGATGGTTTCTACGTGTACGCGGCTGTTCCGGTATTGCGTCGTCTCCGAGGACATCCATGATGGGCGCCCTGCCGGCGGCGCGGTCCTCGTCCCCCGCGGCCACCAACTCCCGCTTGACGTTTTGCAGTATTTGCTGCTCCGACAGCCTGTCGGGCTGCCGGCTGGCCTCCCCACCCAGGACATTTGCGGGGAGCCAGTCCCTGCGCTCGTAAGCCCGGCCCGCGTTTTTGCCGGCCCGCCGCATCCCCCTGAGGACCACTGGGATGTGTGCTACGTGCTGCGAGTACTTGTTCTTGAAGAACCGCCTCCCTAGGTTCGTCAGCTGGTAGGTGCCGTCCTCCCGCAGCCGCCGCACTAGGCCCCGCTGCCCGTTCTGCAGTAGCACGTAGTCGGCCGCACCCTCCCTGACCAGCGGCTGCCTTGGGTCGAAGGTCCTCGACTCTGGCTGCCGCCCGAGCATGCCGAAGTAGGCCTCCCCGGCCCTAGTAACGCTCCCGTCCGCGCGCTGGAGCAACGCGTAGGCGCCTCGGCCCCGCCTCAAGCCCAAGACACGGCTTCCGTCATCCGTGTCCCGGGCCCTCGATCCGGCCTCGACCGCCTCCCTGATGTGCTCCCGCTGCCTCGCCCAGGATGCCATTGTTGGGTTTGATTGCTTTTCTTAGGCTGGTTAAAAAAAAAGGTCGTCCGATCAAGGTGGCCGCTCCGCCCTCGGGTGCCTCAAAGCGCGCGGCATCAAATGGATCTTGATGTGTGGATTTTTGCATGACATTTGCTTGGTGTGCATGGTTTTGCATGTTTTTGGCATGGAATTTGCTTTTGACCTGACCCCCTGTCTTGAGGAAGGTGACGCCCTCGCCGAGCTGACGGAGCTGACGCTGTCGTGTCGTGTGTTGGGGGGGGGCCACTGCGAAAGTGGCGGCCACTGTACAAGTGGCATGGAGGGGGCCACTGTATAAGTGGCGGGGAGGGGGTCAGTGTGAAAGTGGCGGCCGCTGTACAAGTGGCGGGTGGTGCGACCACTGTTCAAGTGGCAGGTCACTGTACAAGTGGCATGGAGGGGGCCACTGTGAAAGTGGCGGCCACTGTACAACGGGCACAGTGTCGTGGATCGAAGGTTGTGACGGGGTTTGCGTGGTGCTTTGCTATTTGAGCAAGTGGCGGAGTTGCGTGACTTGACCTTGACATTTTTATTTTTCACGATTTTGTGGCATGTGGTTGTTTGGATGGGAGGGACGCTGCATGAGGATTTGATACAGTGGTTTGAGCGGCAACTTGGCAACCGTCCCCTGTCCGGCGTGATGGACCCTGCGTGCCCCCTGTCTCCTCCCCTGTGCCCCGAGTGTGCCCTGGGTGCCCTGAGTGTCCTGGGTGCCCTAAATGCCCTGGTGCCCTGGGTGCCCTGCGTGCCCCAAGCCCTGGGTGCCCTGGGTGCCCTGGGTGCCCTGGGTGCCCTAAGTGCCCTGGGTGCTCTGGGTGCCCAAGTGCCTGGGTTCCCTGGTGTCCCGGGGCCTTGCTGTCACCCGGTGTCAGAGCAAAAATCACGACCAGGTGGAGCGGCCCCAAACGAGTCTTCGCGAACCTGTTCTTTTACGTTGGTAATCCGCGATTAAAAGAACGCCGGTTTAGAAGGGACAGGAGTCCCCGCCTGTGCCCGGCTTCACCAGCAGGTCTCTCACCTCCAGCACCAACCCGCACTGCTTCCCCATGATCCAGACCTGCCGGGCCTCGATGTTGGCCTGACACTCGCAGCCGGCAAGAGTCTCGGGCCTCTGGATCTTGTTGCCGTCAGTGTCCCAAATGCGGACGTGCCGCGAGTCCAGCTTGCACTTGAGGAAAGTGGCGCCCTGTCGGGATTCCTTGAGGCAGCTCTGCCACCTGTCCCTCACATCGCCGTAGTCGCCCCAGATCCGGCTGGATCGCACGGACAGCTCCCCGATGCACCGCTTCTCAAAGTCCTCCCAGGTCTCCCAGGCCCCGGAGCCTCTCTCCATGGCAAAGCACACATTCTGCCTTGGTCCCTGGTCCTCACCAAAGCTGCTGGGCTCCCACAGGATATGTGTCCACTCGGACCGCCAGACTATGGGCCTCCCCTCACACCTCAAGGGTGCCGTTTTGCCCCCCTTTGCGGAGGTCTGCACCTCGCTGACCGTGATGTTGCTGGCGATGGTAGTCATCTTGACTAGGTTGCCGGTCTCTTTTCTTATAGGGCGAGAAAAATAGTGGTCCGACCAAGTGTCGGCCCCAGCTCAAGCGGCTCGAGAGCCATTTCCGGAAAAAACGTGTTTTTGTCCGCTTTTCCGGAAATTATATTTTACATGTTTTTTGCGCATGATTTTGCGTGACGGGTTGATGGTGTTGCGTCACGTTTTTCACGTGGTCGGTCGTGTTTACAGACCATGCACACGGGGCCTTGTGAAGGCGAGAGAGACTCGGCTTTGCTGCAGCCTTTTTTCTGGATCTGGGGGGGCGGTGCTCGTTTCGCACTTTGCCAGGGCCTTACTCTTCGTGCTGTCAATGTTGAAGTTGCCTCTTGTGGGGTGCTGTGTGGGTTGGTTGCCTTCGAGTAGTGTTTCAGGTTGGGCCCGACTCGCCAATTTTACGTGGTGAGGCCAACGCGAACTGCAACAACCTGTGTTTTTTTTTCATGTGCTCGCCAGGCGTCATCCTTATCAGGTGCAACGTCAACGCTGCAAAGTGTCGCCCTCAGAGTATTCGTGCTCCCTTGGTCTGGCCCACGTTTTGCGGTGCTCCTCCAACCCCGTCCACGCTTGCCTTCAGGTCTGCCGACCATCGACCCTGTGGATCAGGCCACGTTTTGCGGTGCTTCTCCAACCCCGTCCACCCTTGCCTTCAGGTCTGCCGACTTCTCCAACCCCGTCCACCCTTGCCTTCAGGTCTGCCGACCATCGACCCTGTGGATCAGGCCACGTTTTGCGGTGCTTCTCCAACCCCATCAGGCCACGTTTTGTGGTGCTTCTCCAACCCCGTCTGCCGACCATCGACCCTGTGGATCAGGCCACGTTGTGCACCCAATCCCAGTGAAGTCAAATGACCTGCCTTCAGGACCACCGACCCCCCCTCTCCGTGAGCCCTGGGTGCCCTAAGTGCCCTAAGTGCCCTAAGTGCCCTAAGCCTCAAACGCAAAACCTTGTGTCCACTCGTGTCAGCTTGGCATCATCGATCGGCCGGCCAGGATCCTCAGAGCTTCTGCTTGTGTGCGCCGTCTGCTTCGAGACACTCAGGGTACTCAGGGCACTTAGGGCACTTAGGGCACTTAGGGTACTTAGGGTA